ACGCACGCACGCACGCACACACACATAAGTTAGTTATTTTTTCCTTGAGTTTTTTTCTTGCTTTCGAAATATAAAGTAACATCGGTTTTGTCGATACGCTAATTTTTATTTCAATTAATTTGCGCCACAGAGTATATCATATAATAATACGATGAAACAAACAGACAGAGGCGCCATGGTAATGAATGCGCAATGTTTCGCATTCGCTTCCCTTTCAAACTAGTTGCCCTCCATTTCATTTTACCCCATAGACTGCCTGCATTAATCCCACCCCTGAGAATGTCGCGTGGCATGTGTTTGGCATGCGGTGACTTTGATTACGCAAAATCAGTTCAAATGTTGACATTAAATAGGATCCTTTTGCAGTGTACAGATCGACACGTGAAATATATATTTGTAAATTATCAATAGAATTAGATAAGATCACAGTGGAACAACTCAATAAAAATATTTTTTGCTTCATTCTTCCTAAGATTCTGGGACACATTATTCGTGAAAAAATTATTTGTTTCTGAGTTTCTTGCATCAAGAAATGACATATATTTTACTTATATCGTCGTTTTTATTTACGTGTAATTTATTATATATAGTACACATATATTATATATAATATACATATATAATATACGTATACGCGATCGATCAAGGGCCATAGAAATATGTATCATTTCTTCTGCCATTTTGTTGAGTTTGATATTAGAATAGACACATTTGTGTACATAGACATTGATACAACTTTTAGAAAAGTAATTCTGACACGATGCAGAAATGATTTTAAATGATCTTAAAATATAAGCAAAAAAGGAGATGCAAGGAAATTGCAATTTCAAAAGTGCATTATTCATCGAGCCAGATGTTTAATTGAACACGATCGATGGTGACCCGTATAGGACTCTTTACTGGGATACTTGTTGTACCGGTTCTCTACACATTACTTAACTAAGGGTTGCTCATATACTGATGCTAAAATCGGCAGCGATAATTGGGTTGCGAAAGCACCGTCGCGACACCGCGACACCTCGCGTGATCGATCGTTTCTTCTAAGAATAAACCTAGAGTTACCAACAAAATAGATCAATAGTTTATAAATTTCATAAAGTATTTTAATACAACACGAAAATCTTCTTCAGAAAAAAGAAGAAGAAGTAGAAAACCTTAAAAAAATTTCTATAATTCGTATATAATATACAAATATACAATAAATGTATTTGATGATGTATTTCTAAAGCAATTGACTTGTAAAAATTTCCTTGTATTCTTCAAAATGTTTAATCAATTATGCATCACTGTATATAAAATAAGGATTTACTTACATTAAGAGATGCCGAAGCAGGAACCGTAACCATGGATGAACCATCACCATCAGCAATTCCACCTCTCATTGTGTTCTTCTAAATATAGATATCGTCTCTCATTGGATAACTGCGAATAACAAAATGCTATACATTAGTATAGCATTTTGGTCCATTTAATTAGTGCGAATAAAAATATAAACGTCCTATTATTAAAAATTTTAATGTAACAATTTTATAGAACATGTAACTTAAAAAAATCTTTCGAAGAAGTAAAATATATATATGCACGAGTATATTTAACCGTGTAATTATTATTATTATTATTATTATCATATATTTCAATCATTTTACTGCGATTTTACGCTAAAGAGAGGTCAATCGAGAGAGATCTTATTTCTCAATCCTTTAATACTCTCTTTTACTACGAGTTTATACAATACAAGGACGCTATCATACTTCCAGGCGATCGATTTTATTTCAAGCATAAATTTGTTCGAAGGATGCGAGTTGCTTCATAATTTGAAAGTTCAACATATGCGCAGTGTCAAAGTCATCGCGTCGATTTTAGTCCCGATCGAGGAAAATCAAACCGCGAAACTCTCGTCTTCCACCCCAACTGTGAATTTGATGCGTTATTCTATCTATCTCAACCTTCCTTGATTCACAATCATACACGCGTATTTTCTCGCACGTCAGAATAAGCGCTCGTGAGATCATTTCTCTATCTTTCTTTCTGTCGACACTCCATCGATGCGTGGGTCTCTCTTTCGGGAGCACTCTCCTTTCTCCCTTCTTCTCTTTTCTCTTTCTCCTTCCTCATCAGCTTAACGCATTTTGCGCTCATCCTGCCATTTCACTCTCTCCCTCCCTCAACACGTGCGCTTTCTCATCGTCCTTTTTTCCCCAACCAATCGTCTTCAACGTGCAATCACGCACATATCATCTCCATTCGCACGTATACGCATACACATAAAACATTCCACGTGACGTTCTCTATTCCTTTCAGGTGTACACACTCAGTCTAACCACACTCGTGTGTCGTTCGTCACGCGCCCGACACAGGACCACTCATTCATTCCTTCTCACTCGTTTCTTTAGCCGCAGCATCCTTACGTTTCGCTTCATCGCTTGTCTCCCGCGCCCTTTCAATGGACCAATAATCTCTCTCGCTCTCATTCGCATCGCAGCTGCGGTTCTCTGTTCTTGTCACACGCACGAAACTGATTCCGTCGTTCATCTCTGTCACATGCTCTCTCTCTATCTCTCGACGTGGCCCACCCATCGCAATAAGTTCCACCCGCCCACATTACCTCTCACGCACTTCTCGCTGGCCGATCATCCGTTGCGGATCGGGAAGCAGACGATTCGCCTATCTCGACGACCGATCTTTCGGCAACCGACCGATCGTGCGACCAAAAAAAGAAGACAAAGAGTCATTTTTCCCCTTTGTCAGAGTCTTGATTGACCCTTCACTGTTGCCATGCTTTTTAACAGTAATTACGCATGCATTAATTGTAAATTGTAAATTATATGCCACGAAACCAATAGCGATTCAGCATATAATATTTCCGCAATCATAGTTAATCTTTTTGAATAGAATATTAGAATTCCTTTTAAATCTCTCCTTTTTCATCAAATAATACAGATCCTCCTAAAATCACATAGATTTTTATCAATTTCAACATAAAAAGTAAACATCACTCGAATTGTTTTGATAAGATAATGACTAACTCACTTGACAACGCGGAGCAACTGAAATCGGAGCAAAAAGCGATTCTTCTAATAAAATGCTTCGTTGACTTTCTGAGGAAATTATCGTCCTTGAAGTTGATACAATACTCTTTTTCAATCTTCTTCTTTGGTCTTCATAGCCAGTCGAGCGAAACGTACTCATGGTTGGAAACAACATAATTACAATCATACTCGAGGAACAAAGGATATAATTATTTTAGTCGATCAAATTATTGTCAGTTTGTAAGACAGACTCGCGCAAGATGGATTTCATCAAATTGTATTATTGATCAAATGTTTCCCGCTCAACGAACGATATAGCGATCAATTAAAAACAATTAAATGCTTAAGATCTTTAACAATTTTATAGCAAATATATTCGACAAATGCAACATTTTCATTAATTATATTATTAATTTATTAAAAGAGTACGGATTTAATTCTGAATTTGGACAGTTACGCTTCAAATCCATTAAAAAATAACAGCACGTAGTTGACAAGCAATCATGCCAATAATCCTGTATCTCGCGCTACAAAATCACATCGAGAATTTGATTGCACGATGTCCTCGCATTGATCCTAATGAGAGCAAGTCCGATCGAATAAAGGCTATCGGGGTCCAGTCGATGGTCAGATCCTTGCGGCACGACCGCACACCATCAAAGTGGTCACTCTATATTTAACCATGGTTTCGTTTGTATTCCCCACCTACCGCGTTACTATCCGCTCGTTTGTTTTACGAGTCTATTTCGCTTTCATTATGTTTACACGCTTTACGAAATTATCGCGCGACGCAAATTACTAGACGAGTTTATCGATCGTTATGCTGAATGATTATTCAATGGCCGTTTATCCAAATATCTTGTACATGGAAATTATTCTTTTCTCGATGCACACTCGCGCCATCTTATATTGATTTATTCATGTACACGATTCGCTACATGTGCATCGCGCAGGTATCGAGATCGGATATGAAATTAATGCTGGCATCAACTATGTGTGTAACATCTCCCGGAACAAAAGATCGCATCGAGTCTTTCTATTGTTATCGTCATTTTAAAGTCACGTCTGCGACCTCGCGCACTCGTGATCGGTGCCTTCTTATCTGCATCTCTGCGATACGACGATGGATCGCGCGGTTTTACTGCCGGCATAATAAATTATTTCACGTTCTTCTATCTGGAAATCTATGCAATCTAGTTACACAGATTCGAAAGGAGACTTCCATTCGATCGTATTTAAAATTTAGAAACCGCATGATCAGCACAGCTGGGAAAGTAATCGGAATTGCCACGATACAATTGTCACGAGCGAGGGTTACGAAAGAGCAGCATTGGCATTAATGCACTAATTACCTTTAATATTATTCTATAAATTTTACTTTAAATTCAAACGAAATAAATATTATAGGACTGCGTGGTATAACCGAAGGAAACTCGGTCAAACGCCGTGAACTGGAGTTACGAATGCCCGACTACTTGTTACACTTTTCGCCGCACATGCGCATTGTCGAAAACGACTGCAATTACGAATGCAAAATATAACGCGTGTACTTAATGTTTAGTTGCTTTCTTTTATTTCTTTTATTTCTTTTATTTCTTTATAATCATTTGGATAGCTTCATTATTCACGTAATTAAACGTTGTAAAACGAGAGAAAAAGGATTATGATCGAAGTTTAAAAGTTCTCTAAATTACAAAATATTACGATACAAATTATAACAGATTATGTTAAATACGATATATCAAACTTAGTTTTTGTTGTACTCTTTTCGCATATTACAAGGAAACGTTTTACGTAGACGGTGACTTGTGACGGTGACTTTGAAACAGTGTTTCGATATCGATTAAATGCCATTACGAAAGTCTATGTCCGTCCCTATGCGTATTCCATCGTCAATGGACGTCAAGGTCGCGTATTAACATTACGTATTTCTATTTCCAGCATTACGTGCGTGCACGCGATAGCATTACGAAGCAAATGACGAAGATTAAATTTCGCTTGAGCCTAACGCTATCGCGCGGAGCGCATCTTCACCGGATATTTCTGTCAGGAAATTGCCCCTAAGTCTCTATCGTGATACCATCAACCGTACACTGGTTCTTACATGTCTGACAAAATCGATCAGGGAAATATACTCTCATTTATAGTTCACTCATGCACGATTGTTCTAGCTAATCATTCGGGACACCGGAATATTTTTCAACGACAAGAAGCAAGCGTCTTAAGATCATTGAAAGTGAACGGTCACTTATCGTGAAAAAGTTTATTTGGGGACCATGTCACACGCTTCAGCTATGCCATAATTACCCTAATTGATCCTACCTCCAGTCGATCGCTCCCCTAGTGGCGCGCGTTGTCGGAATCCGCTACGGCAACGCGCACGCACCTCCCAATCACGGAAATCACACGATTGACACACCTACGGGAGTGGAGTCCTCTCACCGGATAGTCTACACTCGCTTTGCCTTCACCTCGTCGCCGCGCTGCACCCGATGATAACTTGACTCCACTCTGGCCGATAACACGGTTAGGTAGACGATGACGTAACGGAGACGGAGACACTCACCTTCCACCAGCATGCGGTAGGTCGACCCACTTTTCCCATGAACGGCAGGCGACGGCAGGCGAAACACGGGAGCTTGGCACTGCTCCCTCATAGAGAGCTCCTTATCGATCTCGCCGCGTATTACGTCGTCCCGCTACCCTCGGCCGAATGTAAATCTCACTCCCGAGGATCCGAATGCTTGAACAATGCGCGCGGTACCACGTCGGCGGGATGAGTGGTTCGCAACATCCAAAGGAACAATCTCCTTCGCTCTTCGAGGGGATAGATGTTCGATCACGATGGTGTCCCTCGTTGTCACATGATAACATACAGGCTTAGCGATGCACAATTCGACGACAGTCACGGTTCTCGTGCAGCTGTCTGACGGCTGACAGTGTAAGACCGAAGTGGAGTGCGACGATCGTGCATCGACGGGGCGCAACACGCGAGGACGATGTCAGTTTTCGCGAGACGAGAGATGTATCCCTTACCCCTGGGGGTGTATAAGGAGCGTAAAAGACGTCAAACACCCGCGCGCGAGCGCGCGCATCGTGTGTTTACATGTGTGTACAAGAGGAGAGAACGAGGGCGCACGCAAGCGCAGCCCGTAGCGTCATCGTCGTCGTAGTCGTTGTTGTTGACTCGTTACCTCGACTCGATATCGCGCGCACGTCTCTCTTTCTCTCTTTCCTTCTTTTTCTCCTTTCCTCTCATACACGCGCGCAGTCGCTGTTACGTCATCACGTACATGTTGCGTCACTGAATGCGTGCGCGTGTAGTCGGACGCGTGTGTTTGACAGACATTACGATTCTACGGGATGAAAACTCGCATACGGAACGTGAGGAATGTTGATGTCTAATTGAAAATAGAAATGTTGAGTCAGACACATTAACTTTTTTCCTTCATTTTTTTCTGCTAAAATTAAAACATTTTCTAGAGAGATAAAGAAGGACAATATAAATGCGTGAAAAAGAAACAGAGCCTAATGTGTCGTATGTAATGCAAGAGTAAAGAAACTGTCATGTCATGTTAATTTAATATTGTTCTTATCATAAATTATGCCTATTGAAAATAATCTCGTCGATTTCATAGTTCTCGAAAACTATCCAAGGGATTTGACTAAACTTTATTTAAGAAGTTGTTCAAATTTAAACAGGATTTGCAAACATCAAATTGCAATTATTAGATAAACTATCAATAAGATTGTATATTGTTACAAAGTATTGTTACATTGCAAATGCAAAAATTACGATCAAGAAAATATCGCGTGTAGTTAAAAATATAATATGGGGGTATATATAAATTTATAAAAATAATTAGACATAAGAATCCGTCCTAATGATCTAAAATACTTATTCATTTTGTATCAATCGATATTCATTTGATAAAGTATGCTATCAGGGACATAAACGAAGAACAAAGAAAATATAATTTCGGATTCACAAAATCCAGTTTAGTCGAAGCAAAATACTTCTGAAATGTTTGTTCTTTATTTAGGAAACAAAAATCCACAAATGAAAGAAGGCGAAACATTTAATTTTACAAATATATTAAATTTTACAAATTAAATGTCTCTTCGATAAACAAGCAGAGCCATCGGCAATCCCCGCGAGCTTTTTCACAAGCCAACCCTTGCGTATTCGCGGCCGATAAAATCGCGCTCCTGCCAGAAATTACCCCTCGGTCACAAAATAGAGATAGCCACAAGAGGGAGAATCAAGCACGAAGGGTGAAGCGAGGATTGAATTGATGAATAATTCGCTTGCGTGGAGCTTTCCATGCTTTGGAAGCTCACCACAGGATGGCGACGCTTCTCTGGCGTGGCAGGAAGTGCCTTTGACCCCCTGCGAGGACCAAGGACGAATCGGCCAATCGGCGTGGCAGGAACGAAGGCCGAACCCGTAGTTTCTAGAATTCAACGACAGCACGACCGCCATTTTTGGCCGTTCCTTCCAATCGCCATTCGACACAACGTTTCTCGTTGCCGCTGCAACGCTATTTTGTTACGCAACTCGGCAGATACATTATGCAGACGTACAGCTGTATAGCGATTGCATGATGCAAATACTGCAGGCAGCTAGGCAGGTAGACAAGCAGGATGCCATCGGTCGCCGTGACAAAGAGGTCTCGGCGAACGCGACAATCTATGATCGCAACGGGATGCGCGCAGCCACTTAACTTTTCATTTCACGACACCGCGAAGAGAAATAAAAATGGAATGGAAAATTTGTGGCTTATTGTTAGACAGAAGAAAGATTAAGATTAAGATTAAGATGTATCTCGAATCGCGAGTATCTCGTCATATGCCGTTTTACGCAAGTTATCCGGAAATGCGCCTTTGTATTAACAAAATAATATACAACTAATTGTTTCCAAATTGTAATAAACAAATGTGTTCTCTTACCAGAGAATAGACCGTTTAGCGTACTCGTATTCATATTTTAATTCTCTTCGTTTATGTCGAACATGTTATTTCGTAATAGAATGAATAATTGAAAACAAACTTAAAAATATAATATTATAATAAAATTCATAAATAAAAAACTCATTCATCCATGCGCTTTGTTTTTAATATATTTGATATACTTAATAAAGTGATATACTCACAATTGTAAGTAATTGCGTGTCCCACACGTGTTAATTGATTAACGATGTCGATCGTCGATGAGCGTGAATAAAAAGATATCGGCCGTCTGGCTGCTATGGCAATGAATGTGTTAAAAATATGTATATCGAATTTAAGAATGATATATGTTCGCATCGAGCAGTGGCGAAAAATTGTGATCTGTAAATCGTTAGCAAAAGTCAAATCTTCAATATGTACCGAAGTCTATATGATTTATTTGATAAAACGTCCGATTTAAATGTCCTACTCATCGTATTTGAAGCATCATAAATGTCGTAAAAGTTATACATATCTAATGATGATATAATTTCATTTGCAATCTCTTTGTGCCTATTAAACTTTTATCGTCACTTCTCTCTTTTATTTATTTCACACATCTTCGGACTTCAGTCAACGTTGCGATCAAAAAACGAGACATATTGACACATGAAATCTTCTAGAAGAATCGAAGATTAGTCTGTTCGTCGTCTCAATTATGCAAATCTGCTGAACAAAGTGGTTACGCTGGGAAGAAATAATTTACATATCGCGAAAATATGCATGCCACAGAGATGTAAATTGCACGACGACGACCGCACGACGACGGTGATGCGATGTTGAGATCTATGGAGAGTAGAGTTGAAAACTGAAAGGGAAAACAGTCGGAGGAATTGAAGAGATCGTGAACAAAAGAAAAATCGAGCGGTCGAAAGTGGAAAGACGGAAGAAAGATTGCACCAAAAGCTTTCCAATTAGCATAAATCTATATCTTATGCTAGTCGGATGATAGATTTAATGATTTAGGTAAAAGTCTATAGACAGAGAAAGATTCAAAGATTTCAAAGAAAGATTTCAAGTCATGATTGGAGAAAGAGATACTTTTTAGTGCGACTGCATATTTTTTTGGCTGCTTTCTTTATCAGATGCAACGCAATTGCTTCATCTTTTTCTATTTTCTTTTTTTTACCTAAGAGAACATATTATATGTATATCTAGAAACAAAGTAAAAAGATTTTGGCCGAACAATTTTAACTATCCTTTAATTAACGTATCTTTCAAAGTTTTGCACAATGCTCGTAAAAATCTGTAATATACAAATCTGCAATGCTTACAATCAAAATCCACGACGAATCAATCTAACGATTTGACTTGTTATTTATTTTTCAAATACAATATATCAAATATAATATATCTGCAATGAATATTAACGTAATTTTCTGTATCTCAAAGAAAAAAGTTTGGAAACTACATTAGTTCATTATTGTATGACGTTTTCCATAATAAATATTACATTCTCATAAATTCAATTATTTGTTAGAATCCGATAATGCAAATATCTCAATAATAATCTAAAGAGATCAAATCTTTTAGGATTAGTCAAAATCGATTTTTTTTAAAGAGAGAAATGGATTGATTCTTGTGCGTATTGCAGTATCCGGGAACGTGCTCTCAATAACTGCATATAACATGTAGATTATAACAATCGGAGTGTACAATGTCGGGATTAATATCAAATATCGGAATTGCTCGGTGATCACTGTAACGTGAAAATCGAAAATCGATTTTCCGCAGACGAGGTTCGATGTCGACGGTTGTTGAGTCGCAAAACGGAGAGCTACGAAGGCGCGGTCGGCGTTCACTCGGCGCTGCGCGAGTGCGCACGCGGCGGCGTTATCACTATTATTAGCTGGTCGTGCCAACGCGCGAGAGCGGCGTCGCTCACGATAGCAAGGCCGCGGCGTGCGATCGCGTGAACACCACGACGGAACACCATGGCCGGGCATATGCGATCCTGTTGCCGTGGCGGCTGACAACATCGACGGCGTCTGCGTGGCGACAGCTGGGCGTGCCATCTTGCACGTCTGCGTCCGGCTGCCCATGGTATCAGGCGAGCATAACGCGTGCTAGGCCGCCGCGCGAACGGCGCGCGGAGAGAAATAGCCGGGAGAAAATTACACCGTGCTCGGGGGCAAGAGAGTGCGGGGCCGTCCAACTGTCTCGTCATCGAGACATCGTGGGTTACCTCCTCGTTACCAACTGTAACCGCGAGGTGCATGCGCGCCAAACGCACACACGTACACACGCACGCATTCGAGGAGGGGGAGAGAGAGAGAGAGAGAGAGAGAGAGAGAGAGAGAGAGAAAGCGCTTTGCTGAATATTGATATTCGAAAGCAAAGATTGAAATCGATGTTACGTAACGATCGACGATTCCAGTCTTTATTCCGCTCTAGATATCGGAAGAACTACTGTACTTCGCTTCGCCTATCGTCGTTATTTATCGTCACGCGAGCCGACGTAAAGATTTCATCATTTCGCGAGTCTGATCTCCAAGCCAAGATCGTATCTAATGCCGTGGAAATAAGATACGCTGACGTGGTGGAGATGTACGGCGGACGTAACGTCGCGTGCACACCGTTACAAGCTAGAGAGCACATCCAACGTGGCGGAGGTCTGTCTCGTGGGGCGCGGGGAGGAAGGGAGCGGAGCTGGAACGGAGCGCAAGAACTGACGACCTCCTGTTCGATGGGATCGTTAAGACCAAACCGGTGCTGCCACGCGGGAGAGAGTCACGCTCTCTCTACCGTGTACACGGTAGAAACGAGGAGAGGGCCTGTATTAGAGCAAGATCGCAGAAACGACAAGAAGTCTTCGGGAACTTCATACGATCGACTGGGTCCTACGGACTGCGGATGGCTGATTAAGGTCGCCCGTCCGCAACTCCCCTCGGTTACATCGCGAAGCGTTTCGTGATCAAAGAAAGTTCTAGCGGGAACGAGGATTACACCTTTCGGCGACCACATCGACATGCGACATCCTTTTAATTTATCTGTAAAACGCAGCTAATTGTACTTGAAAAGTTATGTGAAAATAACCGAATGAAATATAGGGGAAAACGTGTACGTAAAAATTCCATTTAATCAGGGTCGGATGCATAATCTTTGAATGCATAAACAAATTTCGAACAAATACACGAAATCAATCAACGAAATCGTGACATTTGATGAATGAACTAAAAAGTTGAAATGGATAATTCGGAAAATGTGAAATATGAAAATTTAAAACTGAAATGTAAAAGTAAACAAAAATCCAGCAGAACGATTGCAGAGTTGCAATCAAGATCTTCATGCATATATTTTTGAGATTATCTAGAAGATATATATAAATCAATTGTCTAAAATGATGAATAAAATATTTAATTTTATGTATTTCTTATTCCTCTTGATTTCTTAAAAGATTAGAGTTAGGACAAGTAGTGTTGAAAAATATATGAACGCGTGAAACCAACAACAAAAATGATTAGAGCTTTATTATAGAGATTAATTAATAAGAGATTAATTTTTCATTAATTTTATAACAAGTTAAGGTTGCTGCGCATAGTGTGCGCTATAAATAGACACGAACGAGTGATTGAACTTTGAAGCAAGTGGCCTTTAATACAGAACGTCGTTGTGAAAAATTAATACGAAACTGAAAATATTACACCACCTTCCCTTCACCCGAGATCTGTTTCAACTTTAACGGTTTCATTTTCGCAAACGTCACCCTGTCGCCTGTAAACGTCTGTCCAAGTTGTGCCTCGCGAAAAATGGAAAATAATTCTCGACGACGATACTAAAAAAGTGCATATATCGCGGCCGCGATCGATACTCATCGACAAAGAAATTCGCAGCGTGTGCGATTCGCGACCTATTTCAACGATGGCTCGCACTACAAACAATGAACGAACGAACGTGAATAGATGAACGGTTACTCGATTCAATCCGCGATGATCGCGCATAAAAAAGTATATATCACATTCGCGGAAATTCGTAAACATTGGGAAAGGGAACGGAAACGCGGTTTCAAGATCGAAGCGCGGCCAGCTCATCGGTATCGGTTTACGGTATTTTTGACGTGGCCGCGCGCGGTGCAGCCGACAACGAGATTTCCGGCGGTGGCTGCAATTTTATCAAATGGCAGTCGTCGGAGTGTCAGTGACCCCGAAAGAGAGAGAAAGAGTGAGAGAGAGAAGAGAGAGAGAGAGAGAGAGAGAGAGAGAGAGAGAGAGAGAGAGAGAGAGAGAGAGAGAGAGAGAGAGAGAGAGAGAGAGAGAGAGAGAGAGAGAGAGAGAGAGAGAGAGAGAGAGAGAGAGAGAGAGAGAGAGAGAGAG